CACCTTAATATTGAATTTCCTTGCTTCCCAAGCTATGAGCCAACAAATTTCTGTTCATTATAAATGATCCAGTCTGGCCAGGGTGCAGTGGCTCAGGCCTGTAACCCTAACACTCTGGGAGGTCGAGGTGGGTAGATTGCTTGAGCTCACGAGTTGGAGACCAGCCTAAGCAAATTAGGACCCCACCTCTACTGAAAATTGAAAAACTGAAGCAAGAGGATCTCTTGAGCCCAAGAATTGGAAATTGCTGTGAGCTATGACACCACGCATCTTACCCAGGGTGACAGCTTGAGACTCTGTCTCAAAAAATAAATAAATAAATAAATAAATTACCCAGTCTGTGGTGTTCTGTTACGGCAGCAGGAGGGTTGGCTGCCCGAACCTCTGCTTCCTTGGTCCTAACCGCATTAGATTACAGGAAGGTAAAATACAGTATAATAGATGAAAGTGCTTTTCCACATAAACATAATGATTATTATATATCCAGAAAAAGACTGGGCATCTCTTGAGGGTTGTTAATAAGAGGGTCCTTCTATAGGAGGGAGTCCACAATGCCTTGAAATTATACACAACACTGTGTTTGTTTGATACACATACATGTGGTTTATCATCCTACATGATGATTTTTTTCTTTTCTTTTCTTTTTTTTTTTTTTTTAGACAGAGTATCACCTTGTCACCCTCAGTAGTGTGTCATGGCATCACAGCTCACAGCACTCCAAACTCTTGGGTTCAAGCAATCCTCTTGCCTTAGCCTCCCAAATAGTTGTGAATACAGGAACCTACCACAATCACCAGCTATTTTTAGAGATGGGATCTCACTCTTGCTCAGCCTGGTCTTGAACTCCTGAGCTCAAGCAATCTACCTGCCTCAGCCTCCCAGAGTGCTATGGTTACAGATGTGAACCACAGCACCTAGCCTATGATGATTTTGTCTTTTAAAAAAAGGTACAAAACTATCAACTATTCCTAACCTAAAAATATTAATAACCACCATTCCCATAAGTCTTTTTATAAAAGTGGCTAAAGCTCCTTTAGATTCATAAGAACTCTATTATTTAGAGAAATTTAATAATGTGTTAAAATGAAGTTGTCCAAGAGTTATGTATCTGAACACATGTGTATTTTAGATAAACATATGGCAATAAATAAATAGAAATGTTTACAAAGGCCTTTAAAAACCCCTCCATGACTGTATAACCAACCTATAGATAGTCAAATACCTACACCTGTGCCAGCCCTCCCCACCCTCCTTCCTGCAGCAACCAATAAAGGCTCCCTTCAAATGCCTTCACCGGCCGACCAGACCATGACTATGATGACTGGAGACCGTAAGTCACCTGCTCTTCCTGAAGCCCAACCCACCACCATGAGAATAGAACAAGAAGATCCCCTGGGCCCTCCCAGTCATTCTGTTCCACACACTAACTTAGAGCATCATACCCCTTCGATTATCCTCCAGAATTGCCTGACACATACAGGAGACGCAGGGAATCTTGGCAAAAGCATAAGGGCAATAGAAAACACACATTTGAAAAAAATGCTAGAAAAAAACATCTACCCACTCAAAGGCATTGAGTTGTTAGGTTTCACTGTGGGCTTTGGACTTTGTTGTTGGATTCTCTTTTCTTTGAGGTTGTGCGCAAGAACCGAGAG